AAAGACAAATAGTTCTTAGATGGCTGCTTGCAAGCTCTTCAAACCTCATGTGCTCCTCACCAGACTAGGATGTAGAATATTATCTTTATTAACTGTGTTTGGCAATTGACCCAGATGCCCCCTTAGATTATGGTTGTAAGCCTTCAAGTCCAGAAATTCAGTCCCAATGTCTAAGTAGCTTCTATAACTATGCCCCTTACATATTCTATTATATATATGAGAGTACATGCAACATTTAAAAATATGTATGTAGAAATATCCACAACCATACCTATATTTGTACATGGGTATACTCCTGTATGACCTCTCATACCTATATAACTTACATATTTACCTATGTTTCTACTCACAAATTATTATTTGCCATTACTATTTTTGTAACTCACTAACTCACTGCTGTCAAATTGATTATGACTCATAGCAGTTACTGGTTTTTGTTACTGGTTTCTGAGGCGGTATCACTACGGAAGTAGATTGCTCAATCTCCCTTCCAAGGAGTGACTGATGGGTTTGAACCACCAGCCTTCTGGTTAGCAGGACTGTGTATGTTATAGCATTTACTGGGGTTGCCTTTTAGTCTTGTGTACTTCTCGTTGTTTTCCTTTGCCTTGGTTATGTTGTGCTAACTTTCCCCATATTGTGTATTACATTTTACTTCACCAGAATGAACACTTCTGTACTCCCTAGTCAGTGATTCTTACACAATCCCCCTCCCATCTCTCATAATTATCAGAGTATTTCTTTCTGTGTGTAAGCCTATTCTTGACTTTTATCGGGGGAGAAGGGCTAATTTTGCACCTAGCCTTATTATTCTTGACTTTTTATGATAGTAGTTTCTTACAATATTTGTCCATTTGTGATTAACATATTTCACTCAGCCTGAAGTCCTCCAGATTCATCCATGTTGTGAGATGTTTCACAGACTCATCATTATTCTTTAATGTTGTATAGTATGTGTTGTATTTATGTACATCAATTTTTTGTCCATTCTTCCATTGATGAGCACTTAGGTTGCTTTCCAACATGGGTATGCATTTATCTTTTGTGTCATAGCTCTTATTTCTCTAGGATATATACCTAGGAGTGAGGTTGCTAGATTGTATGATATTTCTATTTGCAGCTTTTTAAGGAAGCACCATTCCATTTCCCTTAATGGTTGTACCATTTTGCAGCCCCATCAGCACTGGCTATAAGCTCCAATCTCCCCACACCTCACCAGCATTTATTGTTCTATTCTTTTGATCAGTGTCATTATTGGCAGACCCAAAAAATCTTAATTTGAAACTATTTCTGCCTTTCTGCCCCTCCCTCTCCCTTTTTAAAAATTTTTGTTGTGATTTGGGTGAAAGTTTATAGAGCAAATTCATTTTCCATACAGCAGCTCACATATACTTTGTCTTATGACATTGACTACAATTTCCCACAATGCAATAGCTGCTCTCCCACTTCCTTCCCATAGTCACTCTTCCCTGTGTCCTTCCCTCCATGCACTCCTGCCCCCTGAACTGTCTCCCTGTGTACACACAGCCCTTCTATTCTCCCCTGATTGATGTCTCCAAGGAGTGTATCTACCTAATGTAAATGTTCACCTCATATGCCTGTCTTTTGTTTGGCTGGAAGCCACAAGAGTGGGTTCAATTCCAGACCTGAAGGGCAGCTAGGGGCCATTGTCTCAGGAGTTCCACCAGGCTCTATCAGACCAGCAAACCTTGTCGCTCCCCTTCCCCACCCTGCCATGATTTTGAGTTTTCTTCCACATTGTTCTCCCACTCTATCCAGGATTTCCTACATAGATCCCCCACTGAGTGGTTAACTTTGGTAGCCGGCACCAGAGTCATACAGGCTGAGGATCACATGGTGTACCAGTCCCTTGTACTAATTGTTTCCATATGTCTTTGGTTTTCTTAATTTTTCTTTACTCTGGACAAGGAGACACCCATCATTGTATCTAGATGGCCACGTGCAAGCTTTTAAGATCCCAGTTGCTAATCACCAAAGTAGGATGTGGAACAATGATTTTGTGTAGTATGTTATGCCAATTGATCTTGATGTCCCTTGTGACCAGGGTCCCAAGCCCGCAGGTTCAATTACTCACTCCCTGTGGGTAGCTGGCTGTGGCCAAGAAGTGACTACAACCTTGTTCCTTGTCAGTTCTACTATATAACTGGGAATTCTTTTTTTTTTTGTTGTTGTTTGATTTCTTTCTTTTTTTTTCTTCTTTTTTTGTTTTATTGTATTTTGGGTAAAAGTTTACAGAACAAATTCACTTTCCACACAGCAGTTCACATACATTTTGTCTCATGACAATAACTACAATTTACCACAATGCAACAGTTCCCCTCCACTTCCTCCCTATAGTTACCTCTTCTATGTGTCCTTCTCTCCATGCTCTTGCCCCCTGAACTATATCCCTGTGCACACACAGCCCTTCTATTTTCCCAAGATTGTTCTCTCCAAGGAATGTATCTACCTATATACCTGGGAATTCTTACAGAACATACCAATACACTTGTAGAAAAACATTGTCTGCCAATCCTATACGTGGTCATGGGCACACTCCCCCCTGCATAGACATACCTAATAGTTCAGCCTGTCCACCCATCTTTCCGCCCATATATCAGTGTTTGCCATCACTGATAACATAGTACTATATGTACAAAATGGTTCATCTTTGTTGTCTGCACCTCCTATGCACCTCTCTATGTCTTTCTCTTCCTCAATCTCGCTGTGTTGATCACTCGTATTTGGTACATTGCCCTTCTCTTCACCCAAATCAATACTTCTTTCTACCTATCTAGCATTTTCCCCTTCCTTCTCCTCCCACCCCTAGTAACCCATGAAGAACATTTCCTTCCTTCACTTTTTACAATAATAGACTAATACAATATTTGTACTTCTGTGATTAATTGATTTCACAAGCATAATGTCCTCCAAGTTCATCCAGGTTATGCAGTGTTTTGCAGATTCCTTGTTTTTCTTTAGGGTTGCATATATTCCATGCCTGTCTTTTTTCAAGGAATGTTCTACATATGGAACCAACATATCAACAATGCTAATATCTGTAGTGCATGATAAAAGCCAAATAGGAATCCAATCCCAGGTTGAATAGTGCTGTTGTTTAAAATATTTTAATAAAATTGAGATATCTTCTAATATTATTTTAAAAATAGTCCCAGAACATGAGGACTTAAATGAGTGTGTGTGTGCATGCTTTAAAAGAATACTAGAACAAATGATTCAATGTGTATACCTTTTGTTATATAAAGAGCTTTGGTGTATAGTTACCGAATATTATCATCTTATACTCCAACATTTATGTAATAAATTCATATGTGTTTCTGTGGAGAACTGTTTTCTGCTTTGTCTTTGTTACTTTTTACTTCCAATGCTTTATATTAAAGTTCATTAAGTGTAGAATTTTTTATCAGATAAAAGTTTAGTGTTTAGATATAGACTGACATATAGAGATCCTACTTGTTTACCCAACCCTATGATACACGTTGTGTTTTCAGTAAAGAGAGAACTAATAGAGAATCCATGCTCAAGGAGATTATAGTTTAGTTGTCAGTTAATTCTTTTTGCCAGGACATTAAATAAATCTCACTCTCTTTTAGCATGGATTCATCTTGGCAAACGAGTTTTCTTAGGTGGGTCTTACTGAAAATAAATAAAGGTTTATTGATTAAGCATTTTATACAATTATGCACTTTCTCAAACTATATGTGTTTATTCATGTACTTTTTCTTAAGATAATTGTGTTATTGCACTTACAAGTGACACAAAATCTCTCTCTCTCTCTGCTTGTCGTCCTTCTACTCTTTATCCTCGTCTTCCTTTTCTGTCTCTTTCTGTGAATCTGCTCTAGTCATGCCTTTCTGAGGTAGGCATCTAATTCCTATTTAATACTGGGATAAGTTCGTGAACACGGCTTAGGACATAAAACTTCTGCATTTTTTATGCTCTCACCTTCATTTTCATTCCTTTTTTTAGAAACAAACTTAAGTTTATTTAAATGAAGGAGTCACTTTATCAGTTAATCCTGTCATTATTTTTGTTTGATAATTAGTTTCATTGCTGTTCTTTTTCATTAGCATGTGCAGTTGTATTTTAGCTTATAGCCTTTCTTTTTGAAAGTTAATGAGGTCTGCTAAGAGGCATATTGCCACAGCAATAGCCAATTGGCTGGGATGCAGCAGCAGGGGAAAAATTCATTACCGAGGAGAATTTTAAAAGGGCAGCTGCTTCTTTAATGCTATAGCTATTAAGATGGCAGTTTCCTGCCACAACAGTAGCATGTTTCATTGACTTTCCTCCTTCTCAGTTTCATGTTGTTTCCTAATGATGAATTGAGATATAATTTCCACCTGCTATCAAGGGAATGTTTATGAGGTTTTCAAATTATTTCCTGCTTTCCTAATTATAAATTGTTGCTATCTAAACAAGAGGAAATCTTACTCTTTAAAAAAATACATTTTATAAAACTTTCAAATTAAGATTGATTTTATTTGGATGTTTTAGTTGGAAATTTAACAAAAATCACAATCAACTTTCCCTATTGTTAGCATTAAAATTTTAAATTTTCATAACAATAGTTTGAAAAAATATTCTGCAATAGCTTCTCCACTTGGAGGTTTCTGTATGTATATGCATGGGGGGGGGGACTCACTTGTCCTATATTAGAAATTCTCTTTAGTTCAAAGAAAAGAATCTTGTTCCATTATAAAGAGGAGCGCTTAAGCTTATTATGGTCAATATGGAGTCCTTTGCTGTTCATTATTTGTAGTTAGAGGCCAGAGGGTATTGTTTCCTCACTCCTTTGCCAAATTCCCTGTTAAGCGTTTCCTCTCTAATTGTGCAGTATTCTCAGTTCATAAATTCCTTGATGTAGGGGAAGATAATCCCATAACCACAGGAGAGTAATAACAAAGAGAAGTGGAGGAGACTGTCATATGCATGATTATTTGGTAATAACTCTCTGACATTGGCTTTATCTTTTGTAGATCCCAATCAGTAGTGGATCCTACAGTACTAAAACGCATGGATAAAAATGAGGAAGAAAACATGCAACCTTTGCTCTCTCTGGACTGATAATCTACACTCCCTACGGATTAGAAATGGAAGGTACTAGTTTTCAGCAACAAGGACAGCACTGTGGAAGATTTACCAGCTGGAAACCTATTTATTCATGTTAATGTAGCATAATATATAATAAGGTGTCAGGCTTTCCCATTTGCCTGAACCATGGGTGCCCTGAGATGGATTAAAAAAAAAAAAAAAAAGTCAATAATTTATTCTGTTAAGTGCCAAGTTCTTTGTAAATATAATGTAATCTTAATGTCAAGTTTGTAAATTTTGGTAGTAAATTAATTTGGAAAATATTGGCTCATGAGTTCATGCCAGTGATATGAACTATAACAAAAAACAGAAAAGACACATAAAAGATCAAAGTGAGTTAAATGTAGCCCTGTTTCCTATGAAGCCATATTTCAGCTATCATAGTGATCATTTCATTGTTCTCTGAAACTCTGTCAGCATTCAGACGTTCTTGTTTAATGGGCACTAAATGACTCTTGGAAATTATTATGATAAATGTATTTCCTGTCTAGTGATTTTCATTTCACAGAAAATGTGTCCTGTCGGCTATCACTTGCCTTGCATTTTGGAGAAAAAGAATGACAGATAAACTCGTAAAATGAACACTTGAACTCTTCCATGTTGTTTAAGTCTGGGAGTCTTGCAAAAAGTTATGTTTCCTCAATTAAGATGTGGAATTCTGAAAGAGAGTGAATTCTTTTTAAACTGCTATATTCACAATGTGCCCTTTATGCAAGACCCCTTTGTATCCCTGTCAGATGTACTTTAAGAACTTCCCCTAAAAATCTATTCTACCAAGACAAAGAGAACTCATTCGTGAATAGTGTTTTGACAGCTACTTTTGAACATAATATTTGCCACTTACAGATAAGAGATGAATTTCTAATTCTTGTTCACTTGTTGAAAAATATATATTCACACACACACATTTTTATTGAGCTCTTAATAAGTCCTTGATGTGAGAAGGTTATAAAAATAAATTATACATATTTAATTGTCTTAGAGATGTTATAGATTATTACATGAGATGCTAACTTTGGAAAACCACTTCCTCTAAGTTAATGAAAATGATACACAGTGAAACAGACTTTCAGTGAACCTATTTAAGGTCAGTTAATTTGTAATGCAATCTTGAATCTATTCCATTTTAGTGAAATATTTTTTCTTCAAAGAAGCAACAGATCTGACAACAGACTGACAGGAGTAAAATAGGTTTTCTTTTTTTTTTTCCAAATTCAAATTATTATCTTCATAATCCTATATCAACACATTTTCTTTTCAGATATAATTGCATGAACAAATAGCACTCAGAAGAAATAAATCATGAGAGTATCTGAAGTAGCATATTATAATTTAAATCTAGATTTGAATTCCTTGTATCATTTAAACTTATTTTGTAAAAACTCTTTAATTATAACAAATTTAAAACATTTTACTTCATATTTCACATTCCAATGTGAAAAAAGCAAGATTTTTACCATCTTTACAGTGATAAAATTTGAGATTAAAATATTCTTTTCAAAGAAAAATAACTCAAGGAACTGTTGGAAACCAATAGGTGTAAAGGTAAATAGGGGCCTTCAGACACTTTTTAGCCAAAAGCTTAAAAAATTCTAGTTATAATTCTATAGCCAAAAATCTTAAAAGCAAGATCAGTACCTCAGTCTGCATGTACCAATGGATTGCCTAGTGTTTATAATAATATGTCAATTAATATGAATGAAAGATACCTTAAAAATGCCAACCTTCAATCAAGAGCAGAAAAATAACGACAGTGTTAGGTACTCTGCCCTACCCGTGAATACTATAGGGATTAGAATGAGTTGAGGAAAAAGAGCCACGACAATTTTTGTCTTCAAAAAAACTCTAGCCATTTGTATTTCTTTGGGTTTTTGCCTACTTGCCATACATTTTACAGCCTTGAGCTTTATATGCTATAGAAATAAATATTAAGTAATATGATGCACTGGAATAAAATAGAAACAACCTAAGTACAGAAAGACAGTCAGCTTTTCATTTTCAGGAGTTTCTCTTGGTGTGTAATATTTATTGTCAACTTTCAGGATTCTACCAACTTTACATGTCAATCAACATTGCCAACTCTGGTTCCCTATCATAGAGTTAGTGTCACACAAAAAAACAACTAGAAAAGCATAATTTATGTGCATACCAATCTAATTATAAGTACCATTCACACTATCTCCCTACCTCACAATTGGGAACTTTGCATTACTGCTCTACTTCTCTTCTCCAAATGAGCAATTGAGATTTAGCTGGATTGTGTAAAATATTTCAAAAATGAATGAACAAAACACAACAATGATGCCTTTTGAAATTGCTATATCTAGTTCAATCTATGAATAAACTCATTTTTCCAGTAATATTTTTAAAGGTGCTTAGTCAAAGGATATTTGTTAAAAGTTTCCCCCCAACATGACCTAATTAGCCCTATTGAAGAGTTCTTTCTTCCTCACGTGATTGTGTGTCATGTAGCCATGTCTACTATTACATAACCTACTGTATGTAAATAAGCACCCCTATAATCTTTCATTTTAATTGTAATAGTACATATCCACTCATGTGCAAATAAGAGACTAATTTGCCTTTCTATTTGGAGAGATGGGCTCTGCTGTTTTTCAATTGGCTTGTTAATTCAAAGTTTGTAGACTTCAAGGAATTACCCCTATTTGATTAGGAATGAGCCAATAATGATTACTTCTCTCTCCACCTGCTCCACATTCTACTTCTTATATCTTTTCTTTCTTCAATTGCTTCTGGGGTAGGAAGCTACTTCTAAAGCTGATTTAAAAAGAAATAACTTCTCTTTTCATGTCATCACTGACTTTTGCACACATTTTGATTGATATTTTAAAAGGAAGAGATTATCATGAAAATATACTCTAAGAAATATGAAGAAGTGCCTCTTTAAAATGGAATAAATCAGTAATACTGGGATATAGATTTTATTTATATTCTTCTCTAAAAAGGAAATACATGCATCTTTATTATAAGAATGAAAAATAGATATCATCTGAAGAAAAATATTTGAAACCTTGCTTTGACTATTCTCATGTAGTACTTTTGTGTGTGTCCAATCAAGTACTTTCATACATGTCATTAACAAGGCTGACACCATACATAAGTATTAAGTAGAGTTTTTGCAAGCAAATTTTTGAAATGAGAATGCATGCTCTCTTTTATTTCATCAATAATTTGAATAAGTGTAGTCAGAGACATTCTTAAGTTTTTTTTTCATATAAAATGCTTGTTTACTTTACAGTACTAAAAATTCATACATTCACATGCAGAAAAGCCACACAGGTTATATTAATATTGTTAACCAGATCACACTGATAAAGTATACATTTGAAGTTTCTGTAATATTCTTGAAGGTCCCTCTGTTGTGTTAAGAAAATGGAGAGCTGTTTCAGACTTTGGGGAACACATCTCTGACTCTTCAACAAAAGATATCTTTAGAGCCAAGGCAATGTGTCTTCAGGGTTAGGCTTTCTTTTCTTCTAGAAACAACAAAGGTTTATGGACATGTCTATGATCCTTTAAATAACCTATATGAAGAAAATTTGCTAAGAAGCTGTACTATCTGCTGTTGTTTTATCTAAAAGTCTAACTTGTCAGGTTAGCTAATATCTCTTTGCTTCTTATTTTATATATATTCATTAAAGATAACTTGAAATGTTGTCATCAACCATGGGAACATTTCAGAAAAATTTTCAACACACAAAATAAAAGGAGGAGAGCACTGACATGATATTTGAACTTTCTAATATGGTATTTACATCTATAACATCAATAAACTAATAGCCATATATTCTATCTTATATGTGCTATATAGACATATAGGCTAATAAACAGTGGTGTATTTTAAATTGTGTAAGGCCACTCGATTATTCAAGAATAGGCAGGCTATGTACAAATATATTGGAACAGAAGTAGAAGATTGGCTAAGTATGCAGGGTGTGTAACTATTCTTCAGTGCTAAAAAGGCTTATGTTTGTTTATTTATCTATTTAGTTAGTTATTAAAAAATGCTTTCCAATATATTGTACTTATACTAAAATCCTTGGTACTATTTACTATTTGAAAGGGAACTAATAAGTAAAAATGCAAAAAGGGGTTTTGGTCTTGTAATATTATTATATCACAAGTATAATAGCTTAGAGAATATATATTTTTTCCATGTACTCCACTTTTTATTTTAAATAATATATGAAGCTAACATCAATTATGGAGTTAACGCTATGAAGTCTATTTAGTGCTGAGTGTTATAAAGAATTCTCTTGGACTGTAGGGAAAAATATAAAATAGCAACTCTATGGATTGAAATACCTAATTTGACTTCTTTTAAAGAAAGATTGAAAATGATACTATTGAAATCAAACAATATTTAAAAACAAAATAATTATAAGCATTAAGTGAAATAAATGCACTTAGAGTAAATAGTGGGCATTGTCACAGTTTAGAAAATGGTCGGTATTTGACTTTTATTCTCAAGTTTCAGTGCAAATGTTGCTGTCTTTAATTATGTCTTCTGCATTTCTTCTGTCAAAATCACTTTTTGTGGTGAGTGAGAGGAGACCTAGAAGAAAATTAAACAAAATGAATCTTAACAGCACTTTTAATTTGAATCAATCCCAATGATTTTTAAAAATTGGAATGGGTTATAATTAGTTTACATATAACAAAGATTTAAAGAATTGTCTTGTTTCTAATCCAAGGTTTCAATTTTTGTATTTGTCTACAAAAAATACTCAAAGACCAACTAGTTGTTTTCAGAACTGTCCAGGAAAACAAGATGTCTAAGAAATGATAGAAGTGCTTTTATAGAATACTGAATATTTGGCTCATATGCCCTTGACCTATTGAGGAATTTTTTACTTCAATACATTATAAAAAAGTATAACATAATTTTCAATAAGTATACATTTCTGTTTTAAAATACATTTTGCATATGGTGAATGCTAAATTTGGTAGTATTGAGTATGCATCTGTGTAATGGAGATTTCTAAAAAGCACTTTGAAAAATGACAACAATAATTTTATTTTGACAGAAATTGTAGTTATCTTTTTTAGGTTAGGATGCCTGAAATTTTCTGATACTCTGATGTTTATGGCTTATAAAGGAAAATACATAATTAGTTTCATCCTAATGACATTTTCAGTATTATATAATTTCTGAGAAACCTTCAAAGCATAGTTTAATCAGGCTATAAATGAACTTTTAAATTGCACATAGCAGAGGGAATTATCAGTAAATTAAAAAAAGTAGTGTTTTCTTATAGCTATGTAAAATTAGTGGGTTAGAAAAGTGACTGTATTCAGAAATTTTATTTATAAAAACACTAATTTAAAAATCTTATTTTAAATAATTCCGGTTCAAAATGTGAAGTAAAATAAGAATATTCAGCCTGGTTTGAAAAACAAATAAACCAAAAACAAACCAAACTCACTGCCATTGAGTTGATTCTGACTCATAGCAACCCTTCCTGGGTTTCCAAGGTGGTATCTCTATGGAAGCAGATTGCCCCATCTTCCTTCCACAGAGTGGTTGGTGTGTTTGAACTACCAGCCTTCTGGTTAGCAGTCAAATGCCCTAGGCACTATGCCACTAGAGCTCCCTGAAAAACAAACGCTTACTCAATAATACATATT